GAAGCTAAAGCCTAAGCCGAGCCGAGCGGTGACGATGATGGCGCGAGGCTTGCCTTCTTCTCAACTCTTTAAAATCCAGAAGAAGCGTATTTGTATATAAACCTAATAATTATCATTTCTTCCTCCAATATGGGATAAAGTTCCTTTGTAAAGGAAAATTTTAAGTTTTTATTTTCCCTCTATTTTTCATTCTCATACCATTCTAAGCCAAAAAATCCAACAATCCACCACATGAATGTGGAATGGTTATATAATAAAAAGCATGCATGAAAAATTGTGTGAATTGCAAGTAAGAATTAATTGCATCTGGATAAGTATTTTCCTTACCTTTTCGTTACGGATATACTCGGTCAACTGGTACATGTGATATCTTTGAGCCGTCAAGTTTTTGTGTATACCTAGACAACATAAGTCACACAACCAACCCTTAACCGTCTTTGTTTCTCATTGTTGTGTTCGCTTCATCTAAGAACACCGCTTGATTTTATAAGTGTGTAAATAATTAGTATTACAAAATTTTCCTTGAAGCGGCTAACACTTCAAACTTACATAGGTGATTCGTAATCCCATAAATACATTATTTGACAATCTCATATCAAATTTAAAAATCATTAAAAAGCCTTACGCTTTATTCTTGTTACTGAACTCTGTCTCGTCATGAGAATGAACCAATTTTTTTTTGATAATGTTGAGCCATCATTAATGACTTTGTTTGATCTGCTTGAATTTAGATCGTAGGATCTTTAGTCTTCTAGGTAGATTTACCGTCACAATAATTGTCCTCGGTCATAGTCCCATTTTTCTCGATGAACTATAAATTACCTCTCTAGTTAGACCTTTTGTAAGTGGATCCCATATATTAACGTTTGACTTGTTAATTATAATAATTTTCCTAGAGAGTACTTACCTAACAATTATACGTCTTCGTCGTATACGGCGAGATTTTTCTAATACATAATACTCCTAGCCCTTCCTATTGCTAGTTGACTATCACAATGTATGCATATAGGTGTCAATGATTTGGGCTAAAATAGAATATTTTTCAAGAAGTTTCGGAGCCATTCAGCTTCTTCACCAGCCATGTCTAAGGCTATAAACTCAGCCACCATTGTAGAGCGGGCAATGTATGTTCGTTTGGATTATTTTTTAAAATGCCGCTCATCCACCGATTGTAAAAATATATCTACTTATAGATTTAGAATCACTTGAACTCGTGATCCAATTTGCATCATAATATCCCTCAATAATCGCGAGTTACCTACTATAGTGCAAAACAAAGTCTAACTGTGTTTTAGATATCTCAAAACTCGTTTTATAGTGCAAAACAAAGTCTAACTGTGTTTTAGATATCTCAAAACTCGTTTTATAGCGATTAAATGAGTTTGTCCTAGGTTACTCGTATATCGACTTAGTTTACTTATAGCACAAGATATATCTGATCGTGTACAATTCATGATGTACATTAAACATCCGAACACACGAGCATAATTCAATTGAGATGCACTTTGACCTTTATTCTTTGCAAGTGCAATGTTTACATCAATTGTAGTCTTTCAAACTTTGAAGTCTAAGTACTTGAACTTGTCAAGTACTGACTTAATGTAATGAAATTGAGATAATGCTAGAACTTAAGGAGTTTTGTGGATCTTAATACCCAAAATTAAGTTGGCAACTCTTAATTCTTTCATATCGAACTTGCTATTTAACATACGCTTCGTAGCATTTATGTTGGCAATGACAATACTTATTGTCAACATATCATCCATATATAAATAAATAATAACTATATGATTTGGAGTATTCTTAATATAGACACATTTACCATATTCATTTATTTCAAGACCTTTGTTAATATTGTGTGGCCAAATTCGCATGCCATTATTTGGGCGCTTGTTTTAGTCCATAAAGAGACTTTTTTTTGGTAGAAATACGAAGTTATCATTCATTAACAAGCATAACTACATAAGGATGGTTTCCCAGGGGGATTATTAGTATTCTGACTATCATAGCTACTAGTATTAGTAGGACAACTAACATTATGATTCACAAGTTCTGCTAGTCTATTAAGTACTGTCCATAAAGAGACTCAACATGTTTGCACACCTTTTTTTTTTCAGGAACAAAAAAAGTTCTAAGGGTTGTTTCATGTAGATTTTTCCCTCTAAATCTCCATTTAAAAAGGATGTCTTCACATCCATCTAATGAATTTCAAGACCATATACCACAACCAATGCTATTAACATTTGTATGGATGTAGTCCTCATCACCGACAAGTATGTGTCAAAAGAATCGAGGCATTTTCGTTGTCTATAACCTTTTACAATAAGTCTTGCCATATATTTGTCAAAAGTTTCATCTTCTTTTATTTTCCTCTTAAAAAACTCTTTAGAACCTAACAGTTTGTTTCTGGAAGGAAGATCAACCAATTCTCATGTATGGTTGTTCAATATGAATTCTATTTCACTATTGACTGCCTCTTTCCAAAATGGTAATTTCGAAGAAGGTATATCTTTTTAAATGTTCGAGACTCATTTCTCAATAAGAAAGTCGCAAAATCTGGTCCAAATGAAGTATACATTCTTTGTCGTTTACTACGTCTTGGATCCTCCACGATGTACTTTCTTTGTTTCTTTCGAGGTCGTTTGGATCTTTTGTCATTCGACTCACATTTCTTTTTTTATGAATATATATTTTCAAAGAATATATCATCATATGGTCCTATCACCGTATTAATTTCAATGTGGAGATTTTCTGATTTGTGAACCAGAATTTGATATGCTTTACTATTAGTTGTATATCCTATAAAAATGCAATCAACGATTTAAGGTCATATCTTTACCTCTTGGGTTTAGGAACTTGCACTTTTGTTAAATACCCTCACACTTTGAAATAATTCAAGTTGAACATCCTTTCTTTTTATTTTTCATATGGAATAAATTGTATTTTTCTATGGGAAGCTCGATGAAATATTCGATTAGCTATAAAGATAGCTTTCCCCAACAAGTTCTAGGGTACATCCGAACTTATCAACAAAGCATTCATGATCTCTTTTAATGATCGATTCTTTTGTTTCCCGCAATTTCATTGGATTGGAGCGTGTATAGGGCTATTTTTTATGAATAATGCCATATTCTAAATATATTTCTTCAAAAGGAGATTCATATTCACCATTACTATCACTTCTTATCATTTCGATTTTCTTGTTAAGTTGTATTTCAACTTTACTTTGTATTGCTTGAATGCATCTATTACTTTATCTTTACTACTAAGTAAGTAAACATATATCAACTGTAATTATCAATAAAAGTTATTAAATACTTCTTTCCACGGCGAAATGGTATTGATTTCATATCATATATATCCGTATGTACGAAGTATGTAAGTTCAGAATTTCTTTCAATTGATTTGTAAGGATGTTTAGTGAACTTTGACGCAACACATATTTGACATTTTGATTTACCGCATTTAAACTTAGGCAATACTTTCAAATTAATTATTTTGCGTAAGGTTTTGTAATTGACATATACTAAATGTATATGCCATAAATTATTTGACTCAAGTAACTAAGAAGAAATTGAACTTTTATTATTGTTAACGACCATTACATTCAGTTTGAAAATGCTCCAGTAAGGTGTCCTTTTTTTATAAACATCTCATTCTTACTTATACAACTTTATCAGATACAAAGACATAGTTAAACTCGTTCTTGATGAGAAGTTCAATAGAGACTAAGTTCTTTCTTATTTCAGGAGTGTGAATGACATTGTTTAGAGTCACCAGCACCTTGCCAGAAGTCATCTTCAGAAATTTCTTTCCATATTCTTCAATCTTGGCCATTCAAGAATTTTCTATTGAGAGCGTCTCTTCGGGGTTCAGTGGGAGAATATGATGCAAACGCTTCTCTAGCAGCATAAACATGGTGGGTAGCTCCAGAAATCAATCCACCATTCATTGGAATTTCCTATCAAGTTATATTCCGAAAGTATTGCTCACAAGTTATTCATATTCTCATTCTTTTCGATCATGTTTGCTTGACCCTTTTTCTTATCTTTCTTTGGGGCATGACAATGTGCAAATTTATGTCAAGCTTTTCTATAGTTTTACCAATTTCTTTTGAACCATTTCTTGCTCAGATTATTCTTTGGTCCAGAACGCTTCTTCATCTTTCTATTATTTTGTGGAGCATCCATAATAATATTTGCTCCTATTATTGTTGAGTTTCTATGAACCTTCTTTTCAGTAGTCTTATTGTCCTTTTTGATCCTTAACCGAATAATAAGATCTTCCAGCGATATCTCTTTGTATTTGTATTTCAACTAATTTTTGAAGTCCTTCCATAAAAGAGACAGCTTCTCAATCAATACTGTAACTTGAAGTGGTTTACTGATGACCAAACCTCCAACCAAAATTTTTGTAAGTAACTACACAATTAATACTTTCATCATAAGCATTAATTCGAATTCTTTAATTCTAGTTACACCTTCAGTGAGGAGATTATGAACGGTAGTTTGTAATTCTTGGACTTGGCTATTGAAAGACTTATTGTCGACCATTTTATAGTGCAGAAGCAAAAGGGAAGGATACTATCTCAATTGATAGCGTTGTTGAAACCCGTATCTTTTTTTGGCCCACTTTCTAGACCAAGAAGTCTGGACATTGGCACGATACGTATTAAATTATTACTAAATATAAAAGCGTGATATTTCTTTGAAAAATTAATTTAAATAGCCGCTCACCCAATCACTTAAATTAAAAATAATCAAAATAGTCATTAAAAGTATAGTATACATAATTTAGGTATTATATGTATATAATTATGAATAATAAATATATAATTATGTATATAATTAAAAAGAGTAAACAATAAATGTGATCGGCTATTTGTCTTAATATTCCTACAATTTCTTTTTGGGACTAACTTGAAAGAAAAAAAAAGTAGTAACTTGCTATTTGTGTAAAATTCTTAATTGTAATCCCAAAATATTTTCCAGTATCAATAGCCCTCACTTACTCTTATTCTTTTCCGTCTTTTCTGCCTCTCCGCCATTTCAATCTCTGCTTTCCATCACCGTTCTCGACTTGATCAAGAACCCAGGTAATCTCTATATACACGATCTTAGGCTGTTAACAATCTTGGACAATTCTTTTATGTTGAAGTAGAGAACAATAAAAAAACATCATGCAACTGTATAAATAGGGTGCTTATGGTTTTCGGTCCAGAAAGAAACTAATTAATGAACAAACAGTTAATGGGTCTTCTCTTTATTTGTTTATTTGGTGTATGTTCACCTACAACCATGTGTTCTCTTTTTGCTAAATGTTTCTGTATTAATTAACAACAACAATAACATACCCACTAAAATCTAGTCTGGGAGAGTCGGGGTAGGGGCAGTGGCGGAGGCAGGATATCTAGTCCACGAAGGGGGTTCAAATTTTTTTTTGTAGCTAGTGGGAATTGAACCTATGACCTTATAAAGGTTTTGAACCCCCTTGACCACTAAACTACACTTTTGGGTTGTGTTAAGGGTTGTGTTAACTTAATATATAGAGGTAAAATCCAGATTATGCCCTATATATACCATGTAATTTTTCGACGAACCCCCTTCCGCCCCCCAAAATCCGCCCCTCGGTAGGGGTTTACGTAATATTAAGGTTCTAGGAGCATTGCCTGGTTTATTGATTTAGTCAAAAGATTGAAGTGAAAATAGTTAATTTTATTTTATTGCATACCTTTTCCCTTCAGTTTGGAATACTCAGTTACTAAAAGCTGTGGATTTCGGGCATGCTAATATTGTGTGTCATGTTTGTTCTTTTGTGCCTCTCTACCCAAGGGTGGGGTAAGGTATGCGTACACACTACCCTCCCTAGACCCCACTAGTGAGATTATAATGGGTGTTGTTGTATGTTTGTTCTTTTGTCCTAAGAGATTCAGGAAACACAGTATGCATTTAAAATTGGAATTGAGTGAATACAATTGGGTGTGGTGAATGGAAAAAGCAGTTACGGGTCCTTGATTTTAATACGATAATTAGCAGCAGTAATGGTTCCTTGTTTTGAATATGTTTTTTTTTGCTAACTAGTAATTCATTTAGAAGGTAGGCTTTTCAACGTCATGTTTTGAGTCTATCCAAATTGCAAAAGTTGACTTTGAATCTGTCCGAATTACGATGTTTGACTTTGAATCTGAATTAGTGTTCCTGTTGTAACGCTTCCCAGATTTTCCATGTACACTATGATCCACTTTATTATCCTCTTTAGTGAGCCTACAGATAGAGAACCTTCACAGCCTGTAAACTCCTGATTTAGACATGAAAATAGGCCATCCCGAAGCTTTTCCTCATGGAATGGGAAGACCGATGCCACTATCACCTCTTGTCTTTGCTTCCTTACAAAATTCGACTAGGAGGGAAAGCACCTTAACTTAAACCTCTACTGAAAAATGCTCTTTTTTAAGAGAGAGGCTTAAGGTGCATTCGTCACGCCTTGAAGGAGAGAAGTAGGAGATGTAAAGATGGATGGGAACTTATTAGTAAGAGAAGGCTACAACAACTAGTAGAATAGATGGAATGAGAAGAGCCAAGAGTAAAGTAATGACGCATCAAATTTGCTGGTGGTGAGATTGATATGTGAGGGATGAGCATGAGAGTGGGGAAGTTAATAGTTTGGAGTGTTTATTTGCCAAGTACTTGCCCTGCTGTTAGAAGAAAGTAGAAGAAATAAGGAATTCGAAATAGAGAATCTGCACTTTCTAATGCAAGAGAACTATTTGTTGAATAAAGACTGAGTGGTCTTCTCTCATTAGCTCAGAAAAATCTAATGAATGCATTTCTGTCTATTTACCAACACAATTAGATTCTGGCACAAAAGATATCTAGAAAGCATCATGATGAATGACTCGCTCGTTCTGTTGGGAAGTTACAAGAGCGAAAAGGTGAAGCACAATAGAAGCAGAAGTAAATAGATAGGATTGTTGCTTTTTACTGACTTATTGGATCCTATAAGAGAAACTTACGCAAATATAACTAATAGGACAACTCTCGAGAAGTCAAAGGCAAAACAAAGTAATAAAAATCTACTTACTTTAAAGTAGCTTCAATAAGGTAGCTTTAAGGAAAGTGAGATTTTTATGCTAATTATCTATCAGTTGTAGTGACGTTGTTTGTCTAATTCTACCGAACTTTGCCTTTGATAGGAAGGGTTAAAATTCTAGAGGCATGCTTCTATTTTTAGCTTTTCCAGATTTGGGTGATCGTCTATTTTCTAAGTATGGTTTTGTATTGTCTCATATATATATATATATACGCAATAATAAGCATTCGACTAAAGTGTTCTTTACTTGATGTTTGAAAGTTTAAAGTGAGGGGCTATCAAAAGAATACGTATTGAGTGGCTTTCCTCCCGAATTTTAAATTTGTCTCAAAAGATCTGTAGATTTTGATGAAGTTAATGATTTCTATAATGGCATCTCCTTAGTATACAGTGTGTTAATAAATTGAATTCCATTCCATTTCCTTGAGTTTAATAGCAATAAATCTTTGGCAAGAAATCGGTATAGTATAAGATTTTTTATGCTTATAGTGTGATACCTAATTACAAATCGTTATCTATCATCTAGAACAAGAAATCTTTGACATTGCATTCCCCTGCTGTCTAGTCCTTTGCCCCTGGTTTTAGTAGATCATGCTCTTGTAAGGATTTTGGGTCATATTCGCAGCGTCTTTTGCTTCAAAACAATTTTACGAGCTAGATGTCTCCTTTGGTTATGTAGTTGGCAGTACTTAGCCCCCGTAGATTGCCATATTAACTTTTTGGATTTTGTCAGCTCTTTTGCTTTAGCCTAGTATTTCTTTTTTTTTTTTGTATCAAAGCTGACTCTTTCCCCCTCTTGTACTTCTTGCATCTTCTTGATGCCTTTTTCTATATAACTCATTACTTCATAAAAAAAAAAACAATTTTACGAGCTAGAGAATTATTCTGTTCTAGCTTTAGGTTTCAGTCTACAAGGAATGAAGTTTAACCAAGTGGGCTTATGAACTACTAGATTATATTTTCCCCAGTAAAAGTCAGTTGATAAATGTTTGTACGGTCAAACCCTTTTTTACTGTTTCGTGTTACTTTTGTGCTATTAGATAAATGGTTCATTCCTTCTGTTGTGCTACAATATACTACATCTTTTTTCTTAAGACGAATGGTTCGCTTATAATGTGCTATTGAGTTCATTGCTAATCAATTGTGTTGTCTTTATAACAACACATTTATCGTGTTTTTCAGTTAAACTAAATGGCTAGTTGGGAAACTAACAAATTGGTATCCGCTCATCCAAATGATCTGTTTGATGATGAAAATAAAGGAAAGGCATGTTGGGATATTAGCCACTTGGTATCTCCCGATCCGAATGTTCTGTCAGATGATGAAAATAACGAAGAGGAGAAACTTCGAAGGGAGCAAGAGGATACGGAATGGTTTGCTTTGTGTAAAATAACATGGAAGCTTATCTTCTTGTATTATGAAGAATACATATGCGACGTACCTTACAGTAAGGCAAAACATCTTGTAGCATCAATAAAAGAGGATATACACTCTCTAATAGAGTTTATGTCGAGCCAAACCACTGCTACATCTCCTGCAGTAGATGAGCCCACCATCGACAAGTGTTTTGCCATTTTAGAAAATATTACTGATATTCCTCCGGGGAGTCATGCTACCCTTATTTTATTAGAAAAAAAGAGCGTCTTTCAACAAAAAAGGATGCAACTTAATGAAATACATATGGGAAGTCTTTGGTTATGTTGCCGGTTGTCGGTCGTCCAATTGCATTCTTTTATGTATATTAGTTTGTATAAGCCATTAATGTGCTCCAAGTCAAGTTTATTTAAAATAGAAAAACTCTTTCATGCTCCATCCGTTTTCTTCAATAACAAAAGTTATTTGTTTGATGTAATTTGTATTATGAGACTATCATATCTTTATCCATTTTTTTTTAAATTCTTGTAGATGAACAGAGAACACGTAACCTAATTAGCAAATCTTTTCTCCCATATAAGTTAATTAGCAATTTGATTATGCCTTTCTAATAACTTCTAAGAAATATTTTTTCTATCATAAAATTAATTCAAAAGACTACAAAAGTGAATCGATAATTGCGGGGTAAATAGTATTTGTCTTTTCTTTTGTCAGTCTAAAGGGTGTTCAAATATTTTTGTTGTTGAGCTTTGAATAAAGTTGTTTCTAGAAAGAAAAAATCCAATCTACCATTTTTTGTATTTATATTTCTTTCGCTTCATGTTGCTATTGTTAAAGATGGTTTCTCTGATAATATGTTCTGTTTTTTATGTTTTTCTTTTGTCTAGATGTGTGATGGTTTAAATTGAATAAAGTGAAAAATTTAATTTTACATGTGGAGTTTTCGCTCTACCTTTTAACGACGACTATAATCTATTTCCACTATAATTCAGAAAATGGACAATACTGCAATTTGGAATTAGTTGTAATGGATAGTACGGGCATCAAATATTTTTGTTACTCAAAGGTTCTCCAATGCATCAAAAATTTTGTTGGCAGACTTTCGAGATGAACAAAATCTGATACTAGCTAGGCTAATGACAATATGATATGGTTTCCTCATTCTCAGATATTTATATCAAATAATTAAAGAACAAGTAAGAAAATATTTAAGAATATAAATATGTGAGAAAGAGAAAGAAGAAAGGTTGGTAAGAGTCAACACTTCTAATGATTCTGCAAGCATAAAGATCGAAAAGTAAAATGTCAAATCGATCTTTTTACTCTTTAAAAATAAAAAATTGGTGGATAAAATTATATTACGATTAAATATTCAAAACAAGCAATGAACTAATACTAAGAATCTGAATCAACATAAAATAAATTATTTAACACCAAATAATTAAATCTTTCAATTAATTATTCCGCAAGAGAATCCAATTCAATTATTTTTTAAATTCATCTTATGAGTAAAATTATTTTTCAAGTTAAAACAAAATCTTAGGGTACATAAATTTATTCCATAAATAGAGCGTTAGAGATTAAAAAAATTAGAACACAAAGTAAAAAGGGTTAATATAGTATTAAGAATCAAAAGGCCATACAAGTGTCTGAGGAAGCACAATCAAAGTTAAATTCTGAACATGAATAAGCTTCAAGACCATATTATAAAGAGACGACTATGGTATAACGGGATTATCACTTGTAGATTCCTCTGACGGAATCGAAATAATATTGACATGTCAAGCATTACTTGCAAATGTTAGATCAAGAGGTATACAACTCACTCTAGATTTGATATACCTTTAGAGTTGAGGTCATACAACTCACTTTAGATTTGATATATCTTTTCAAACAATTTAAATAATCATCGCAAATATATCAAAACAGAGCAATGGTGTTAAATTTATAAGGAAAGTAAAATTTATAATATGGAATAAAACGGTTATGGCTAAGCATCGAATGATCGAAATAAGGAGTTTTAGAGATATATTGGATATCAATGAACATTTGGTGAAAAGGTAATAGTTTAGGAGGTGATTTCTGTCAAGTACTACTAATAGTTCCAAAATTGACGAAAGCAGAGATTGTAAAAGCTAGCTTGCCAAAATCATGTTTATGGCCTCAAATGAAAATGATTCTGACAAAAAAATAAAAGTAAGAACAGATCCAGAATTCAGTGACTTTTTGCTTCGTCTCCGAAACGAAGTAGAGCATATAATAAGAGATGATTTGGTTCTTCCAGATCACTTAGTTATCAATCTAATAGTAGTGAATTTAATAGGGGAATATTTCCATCATGAGATTAAAATGCAATTTGTGCAAATCACATAATAGAAATTAAAGAGCTATCTTTGCTAGCAGAAATTAATATGTTGATCAACTAAATAAAAGGTTGATTACTAAGTTTTATGGTAAAAATATTTTTTTTTTGTAATTTTTGACTCAGCAGAATATGATACTAATAATTACTACCTCGAAGAATACTTAAAACTTTAACACCAAATGGCCTTCTATCATACATGTTTGTTGTTAAGTTCATTTCTTACGGATGTTAGTATCACCGTATATATAATAGACTAAGTTAAAAATTGATTTTGAACTGCAAATAAGTTGATTTTGAAGAAAAATATGCCCCTTATACTACTGAAAAACTTAGATCTGCCGAATAGATTATGTAATAGCACACAAATGGTATATAAAAATTCATGCATGTAGAAATTATGATACTGGTCAATGTGCTTCTAAGTGCATGTTTATCTCCGAATTCAACTTTCGTCTTTAGAAATTGAAGAATATCCTTTTAAATTTGTGTGAAAATAATTTTCAGTATGTTTATGTGTTACAATTATTATAAATAAAGCACAAGGACAAACATCCTAAATATTGGACTATATTTACCGCAATATATTTTTGCACGAACAACTATATGTTGCTCTTTCAAGAGGGATATAAATATCTACAACAAGAGTTCTGGTTATGATGGAGCAACCAAAGCATTAAAAGGAAAAACATACACAAAAGAAACATCGCCTACAAACAAATGTTCGGCAAGATACCATAATATTAAATATTATTAAACTATAATACATAATTATCTAACTAACATGACCAAATTGATCATTTGTGTAAGTTCTGATGATATCCATTCATTTTGAATTTATGTATTATGCTAATGTATAATATTTTTCGGCATTGAGATGATTGTTGTATATACATAAAATTTCTCTCATTAATTAGATTTTGTTGTTCTTTCATATGAATAAATGTTTAAACCATCATGTGCTATTATTAACGTGCAACGCACGTTTATAGATACTAATATATATATATATATATATATATATATATATTACGAGGAAACAAGATTTTTGTCGTTATGAAATTTTTGATTGAGAAAGTCAGTGTTTGTTGATCTATCCAAGAATTTAACTAAAAAATATGGGGTTAACTCTACGCATGGAATGTCGAGATGTTATGCATGTTTTTGATGATATGTGAAAACGAAGCTGGAAATCGATCGATATATGAGATCTTTCAATACTCATGAGTCATGAGAGACAATTCATAATGTTTTAATGACCATTTTGTGAGCTTGCTAGGGATATTATTAGGTGGAAATCAATGGACCATCTTTTATTTGAACATCGAGAAGCAGCCCAATCTCTTAAAAAGCAATTGGCACTACTTCCATCTCCCTCTTTGTGTGACAAACAAACACCAAATGCTATTCCTCCGCAATCAAAATGGTTCAGTTGCGCGAAAATTAAGGCACAATCCACACCAATATCCCCATGGTACGCCTTTAGGAAATGTCAAATCTTTGACATTTGAATCGGGTGATTAACAACATTGTCCATTGGAGAATTAATTTGAACTTCCAAGAACTCAACTTCAGTATCATTACAATCTATTGTGACATTGCCTTTTAAACTTCCTGCTCATGTATAGTGAGACTGTCAATTTTTTTGACAAAGAGTTTGCTAGAAGATTTGATAGTTGTTTAGGTCCATTTGGGATGGTATTTACTTGGTTTTTTGGGAAGAAAAATACAAGGGGCATACAAATGTTAGTGAGGCCTTGATCTAGTAGGGAAAGTTTGTGCAATCTTTGAGTAGATGGAGTGGGAGAGAAGGGTTTGATGATTTACAACTAAGCTAGCAATATATATACATACGAGCACTCAAACGTTGAAAGAAATTAATAAACAAAATATTTATCTATTTGCAGTTCTTTTTTTTTGCGCTAAGATACAACTCCATAATGGAGAATCCAGAGGGTGCTATATAAATTTTAACTATATGTTGGAAAAACTATTTTAAAACAAATTTTTCTTTTTGTTGCAGCACTTACAATTGTGAAATGTTAAGTAATTTCTGTTAGGTTTCGTGAATGGGCGTGAATGTAAAATGGAAGAGACATCTTTTGGATTGCACCTCTTCATCTCACTCTTTCATTGTCTATAAATTTTAGAGGCTTAGTCTCATTTTCATACATGGAAAAAATTCTGAATTTCTCCCATTTTTCATGCATTTTTTTTCCAAAACAAAATATTAGTGTCATGTGTGATTTGCTCCGCCTTATTGCGTTCGCTGAAACACTGGTGTTCGAGGTACCGCTACATCAATGTGGATAATCCGTTCTATCGTGGGAGGAAATAATCCTAAACCTTAGGTACTAGGAGGGGATTAACTTCCTTAAAGACACACTGTGAATTTAGCGGGCTCGAATTTAATTTTGTTCTTCCTATGCATTTCTGTTTCTCTTTTACTTTACATTTCGAACACAGGTTATTAACAATCTTAAGGAACTTATGGTTGATAGCAGGGAAAAAAAATAGAAGTGACAGTCTTCTGTCATGGAGGAAAATGACGAAGCGACGTGCTCTGCGGTTTGATTACGGAGTTGAAATTGTTATATTTCAATTGTTAAAATTTAACAATAGGAGACAAGAAAGATTGAATGATCAATTCTTCTTTGTCGATCGTAGCCATGGGCATGAAGTAGGATAAATTTTGTGAATGCAGTTCCCATTTCATTCTTAATATTCCAATGCTTCATCGGTGAGGACCACAAATATACCCAATGACTTGGTAAAGATTTTGTTGTTTGTCAAGTACCGGAGAATTTAACGATAGCGTCATCAACATGAAGAAGTCGGGAATTTGCTTCTATGATGTCATGTCTATAAATCGTTTAGATATGGCAATAGTTTCAGTATGTGGATGGCGTCTGCAATAAGATTGGATCTGCTTCAAATTTTTAAAATTGAAGTGAAGGAAAAAAGAACGGAATGTTGCATTAGACTATGAATTATCAAGGCAAACTTTTAAAATTTTAGCATGGTCTTGAAGATTGGGTTTACTGGTTAAGTGCAAAGGCATTAAGTTACTGCCATT